ATTAGGTCATCCAGGATTAGTGTTAATCAAGGTCTGTGAATCTATTGCCATGACCCATGAGACACTTTTTAACAAAGTCAGTCAGATCCAAGCATTCCCCCACACCACTTTCTACTACCTTGTGAAAGCCAGAAAAAAAGATCTGGTAAATAATTAAACATTGGATTTAACAAATATATTTCTCTCCAACCTTTTCTAACCAGATATCAAAGGAGGTGGAGACTTAAACTTTAGATTCATTTCATACAGAAGGTTAACCAAAATCACACATACAGTGTGTGAATTAACAGCTTCATTCTCATCCACAAAAGAATCTTCCAGGACAAACAAAAATGTCAACACTAGGCTGTCCCACGGAGTAAATTCTACATTCTATCATCAGAATATTGTCATGGAGATTAAATTCATGTAGTCATCTGTCCCTGATCAAGAGAACAGCAGTTTGTGAAATGCATTATTGCCGATATCTGTCTTCTATAAGTCAATAAGCCCTTTACTTTAATCATTTTCTGCCATGACTACCCCTTGTTCAGTGAACATGAGCTCCTTCCTTTTGGGTGTCATTTCATACTACCCAGATTCAAATGCAACCTTTTATTTCCTTGACTATTAACCTGCCTGATTTGAAAAATTCATTGTATATCTTACTTTATTTGTATATTTATTTTCTTTTTTAAATTACATGTGTCTCTTAAATGTTAATGGGCTCAAATTGTGTTCAATGTATTGTTTACCCGCCTGCAAAGCAAATTTCCTATCTGTGACAATGAAAGTGAACCACACTTTTAAGGAAGTGACCTGTCAGGACTCTAAAAATACTTAGTCTAACCAAATTTAGACAAAGTTTTTTTTACCGGTTATTCTTTTCTCCTTAGCTGACATTCTTCCTAAATACTGTCTTTGTGTTTAAGGGTGGCTTCTCAAAGTGCTTTACAGAAAAAAAACAGGAACAACAACAATTAAAAATAAATAAAAAAGCATTTCAGCAAGAGGTGTGAGCCTGTTTAGTTGAGCAAAGCAGATGTGAATTCATTTTTCGAGCCTTGATACAATAATTCACAAGAGTCTAACAGATTTTAAATCGCCAGGAATTTTGACGGCAAAGGTCTCGCGGTGGATGTTGCAATGCGTCCATTCATTTCTGGAGCAACCTCTCTAATTCGTGCAACTGCACCGCTATGTCGGCTTGTCATCGCTCTAGCACCGTCTATACAAACTCTGACGCATTTTATCCAGTCGATGACATTCTCTTCGATACATTCATTCAGAAGCTGAAATATGTGCTCTCCTGTAGTTCCTGTTGGTAGCGGCTTACAGAACAGAAAGTCCTCATGGGACATGCCCTCAAACTCATATCTAACGTAAACGAGCAAATTGGCCAAATCGACTACAGACTCATCTGATTGCAGTGAAAAACAGCTGCTCATCTTAACGCGCTCTATCAGCGTATTTTTCATACCATACACCATTTCAATAATTCTATGAGTGACTGTGTCTTTCAGAGGGGGCAGCTGATTCAACTGTTTAGCAGCTTTTTCTCCACACATAATACGTGTCAGCCCTTTTGCCAATGGTAAATAAGGTTCTTCAACAATATTGTGGGGCTTACCTGCTTTAGCAATCCGCAAGCTTGAATTTTTCCCCGTTTCCGTTTCAGGAGTCTGTCTCAGAAGTTAAAAGAAGTTTTTATTTAATGCGCATGGGAGCGAAACACAGAGACGCTCGGTGTATTTTTCTCAAATTAACTTAGAACAGTTCTTAAAATATTTTTCTGTTATCTATCACGCTTTCCTGTACTCACAAGATTACCAGCGTTCGTACGGTAGCACGCATTTCTATGCATTCCTGTGTTTACAGCATTGGCAGTGTTCCAAGATCACACACATTCTCCTACCTCCCTATTTGCTGGAGATAGCTTTTTTTAAATACAATTGGTAACTTACGTTTGTAGCACACATTCCTATAGAATGGTACAGAATTACATTATAGCTCTGTGTCCACTCAAGCATTAGCGCGCGCTGTATTGTAGTACTAGGCTGCGTATTCGACATGTATTAAAATAGAAAATATGAAAACCCATCCCGATTTTTCAGCGCACACAACAAAGTTCCAGGGTCATATGGCGTACCAGCTGGCGGAGCTTCGCATACCACTCCTGGTTAGCGTACCACAGTTTGAGAACCACTGCCTTAAGGCTTATGACAATAACAAAACATGCAAACTGGCTAAAACCAATCCGTACTGCTCTTTTAAACTAAAATAATTTTTGTTCCTGACAGCTGTATTGTTTCCTCCGCAATTGAGATTTTGGTTACTGTATAATTATTACTATTCCATACCCTAAGGTACATTATTTTTTTTTCCAATTCACAGATATACTTGGACAGAAAAATTAGATACTACACTTCAGACTAAAGCCTTCTGAAAACTAGCCAGTGCAGATATTTAGCACATTCTGGAGCATAAATTAAGCAGACTCACAGACGATAACTGAGTTAAAAGAAGAACAGGTGAGGAACAAAAAAAAAAGTCAACACATCATAGACAAAGAGAACGGAAAATTAAAAACTAATAGCTGGTTCCAAAATGACAAATTTTTCCCCTATGTAATTTCCATCTGTGCTGTCTTGTCATATGAATACAGCTTGCTTACATATTTAAACCTCTGCAATGTGATCATATATAGTAGGTAGTCAGGAATTTCAATATAATGTTATATTTTAATATTTTATCACACTCTATACATTTAATGACGTAAAGTCAAACAATTAATAAAAAGTGTAACATTCACACTTTAAGGAAAAAAAATAGTCTGTCCAGTTAAAGTGTTTTTAAAAAGACTGATTCATAACCACAACCCAGCTATGACTAAGCAGGTGTAACTGAGGACCAGTCATACCCACTGTCTACTGCTCTCAATGTCTGAACCTATACTCTTCTTAAATATAGTCAGTTCTACCAATATGTTTTCAGGAAACCAGCTCACAGCTCCAAGTTTCATACTTACACAGGATAAAGAACATACAGGCCTACTCTGATATGAGCTTGTCAATCTATATGCTTCCTATTCACACTGTTGGCCCACAGCACCAATTAATCAGTAGTTATGGCACCACGGAGAGGAGAGGTGCAGCTTTCATGCATTAACACTGCAAACTCAAACGTGTCTAACAGGCTACAGGGATCTTTGATGTATAAGCAAGCAAGTTATACTGTAAGTGATTTGAGCCCAACCAACAGACATCAGTCTTTGTCTATCTCCTGAATCCTTAAGCAAAGATATGGTTTATGCCATACACTTGATCCAAAACAGCAATGTCTGGGTAAAAAAAGCATTCTCCATAGTCCCAAGAATCTACTGGCTGACTTCTGCACCCCTCAGACTGCTTATCAACTTCTTTATGCAACATTCTAGTTCTTGACAGATAAATATTTGTTGAAAGCAATCATTAAAATTCATTCATTGCTTAACTTGAATACTGTGACTAAGATTAGATTAAGATCATTCTTCAGACCAGTGAAGATCATGTGTTTGTTCTACAACAAGATAACAAGGCAGACCTTCCTGTACTTCTCTCTTGTGGTTACACATACAGTGTATGAAAAAAAGACAGCAAATGCATTTGTTCAAGAAGAGGTATTTTAATGCAAATGTCTTCAAATTGTTTGATTTCAAATACGTATTTAACAGTTCTTAAGGAAACACAAGACTATCTATTTTCACACATTTTGGCCACGCTGTTATTCACGATCTAGCATTTGTTTTGAGTCTGTGATAACCAAGACAAATCACAGCAAACACTAGAATTTAAATGGAGTGAATTAGCCTGTGTAAAAGAAAAGGATTGTTGTCCAGTTCAATTGGTGCCACTTTCTTTGTGAGAGGCTATTAGTTAAGGAACAGGGTGCAAAGTCTGGTGTGGAAAACAAATGATGGAAGAACACTGAATGTTGCTTTACAAATTTATTTTAAAAAGTTTAAAAACTTAAATAAATGATAAGAGCAGCAGGTAACCATTTTCTGAATTCAAGAACAAAATGATTGGAAGAATTTAAAATGCGGAGAGTAAAGGAAACCCCTGACAAAAAAAAAACATTTGAGAGAAGGAAGTTGAAAAGCCTCAGATGAAATATTCTGAGCAACTAGCATTGCCTTCTTAACAACCGTCACTGAAAAGAGGATTTTAATTTTAATGGTGTTTCACACCACTGGCCCACCTACATTGTTCAAACACCAACATTCTGTTCTTTAGTCCAAATGAGCCGAGCACATTTCAGTTACTCAACTGAACACTTATGAGAACGAATAAGATGTTTAATTAGAAACTGTATGGTCATGAAAAGCTCTAAGTTTTCAATTACTTGCATTTTATTGTTAACAGGAAATAAAATGTTAAAATGTTGGCAAGAATAAATGCATAATAACCAAAACATGCATTCATTTAAACACCACTAAGTGAATTACTTTTGGGGTTATGTGTGTTTAAAAGGTCTAATGTAACTGATTTATGTAGGTAAGAATCCAGGAGGTTAGATAAAACAAATGTTACCCGGGTAAGCAAGGGCCTACTTCAGTTTTAAATGCAATTCCTGAATCTATAGTAAGTCACCATACAACTGAAAGGCAGACCCAAGGGTACAGCTTTGAGGAAATCAGTATTGGGGATAGCAGGATTTTATGTCAACTAGAAAATGATAAACCTATTTCAGATACAGGAGTGACAGTAGAACAAGGGGATATTCCTAGTCCACAGTATAAACAGGATTTAGTGTAGGATAAATGTCTCTTTTGAAGTGGACATGGAATGTAAAGTAAAAACGTCTGGTTTTGTAGCTCTGGTTAGCCAGAGCTCTCTTTACTTGCACATAATGACCAAGATACATGCTAAACTTATTCTTGAGGTAAACAAACTTTCAGCAACAAAATACATTGTTCCATGCATAAAAAAGAAAGGAAACTTACAACTTTATGTTAACATTAATAAACATGCAATATTCACTTTTCCAACCTGTCTTCTTGTGACCTTTTAAAACTGCTTTACTCCGGGTTGATCTATACACATGAACTGATGGGACGTTCTTCCTTCATGGGAATTATAGAATTTTCATGCTACGGGGAAAAAGAAATCGAACTTATCACAAATGTTTACATTTCACTATGGGAACCATGACATCAGTGGTTAGGTGCATGGGGCTTTTTTTATTAATGCAGACCTTAGTGTCTGCGGACCAATTTACATTAGAAACTAAAAAAAAAACAGGAAGCTAGCTTATGTCAGTCAGAATGTGAAATGTAAAAAAATACTACCACAAAGTAAAGACCATAAGACCAAGCACATCCTTTAATGAAATAAGCCTAGTAAAAAGTACACTACTTTGAAAAGACAATGGCATAAAATTTAATAACTAAAAATGCTACAAACAGCAAAATAAGAATAATTTTGTTCAAGAGATACTGTATGACTTTTATTAGTATTTAAATGTGCAGTTTTATTGTTCTGTAATTGTTATAATATTAACATACACATACATGCTAACCCCTGGAATTACTGTACAAGAGTGGAATGCAAAAGAGCCGTTAGCCTTTATACGACTTATTTCAGATTTACCTGCATCGGGAATTTTAGGTTAACACCCCTTTGCTCTTATGGTGTATGACACAAAAAAACAACAGCAGCAGCATAAAATAAAATTAGAATAAGTATTTTGTTATATACTGGACATAAAGTAACTCCTACTGGTACGGAAGCCCATTGCCCCTTATCTTGGAATTACGAGAAACGCATCTCGTAATTACAAAAAAATTATCTTTTAATAATGACTTAGTAATTCTCACGTACTTTATGTGCTCACGCGTCAGCGCAATTGTCGTATAATACCTATTTCAAGTAGGTAGCTACCTCAGCATGCTTAGGCTGCAAAGGAACATGTTAAAGGTTTATTCTATGCTGAAAAGAGAAGAAAAGAAAGTTTTGGCTGTGAGGGCTTCACAGCTGAAATGTTGTGTTACTTTTTTTCCTCGATTTATTCCATGCTTTTTTCTCTTTATTTATTCCACGTTTATTCCATGCTGAAAAGAGAAACAAAGTAAGAACATTTCGTCTGTGAAGCCCTCACAGCCAAAACGTTATGTTTCTTTTCTTCTCTTCTTAGCATGGAACAAACTTTTAATTTATTCCTTTAATACTATAGAGCTTCGGGTATTAATTCTCATGGGTTTGCGCCCTCGCAGCTCCCATCAGTTCGGCCCTTCACCACTGGGGCTCAAACACAGGTCTCCGGCAGCACTCAACAGGGAACCAGCCGGCTGAGCTAAGGGGAGATCTCCCCTCAGCCCAGCGGCTTTGGTCTCTGCTATAACCAGGGAAGGGCGGTGTCGTCACCGTAGTGCTGGGCGATAATTCGATAACGATAATTATCGCGATATAATTTTCCTCGATATAATTTTAACAAATGTTTGATATATACGTTTATGCTTTGCGCATGATATGCGCATGTGCACAAAATACTACGCGAGTGCATGTGCGTGTTGCAGACCGGGCAGCGAACGTGGTGTTGTTTACCCACACGGTGGTGGCTGACAGGATTGTAGTTAGTGTGGAGAAATGAGCGACACTGAAGCAAATGTAGTGCTGCCAACGACCAGAAAAGGTCATTCAACTTCGGTAATTTGGAGATTTTTTGGCTTTTTACGATCAGACATAAAACAGAGCACTTTAAACTTTGCAGTCTGTCTGAGCCATCTTCTATGTGTGTTTTATCACTCTGCAGTATTTAATTTTTCTATTAAGATATTTATTTTGTAAATTTTACTCATGCATATTTTTACATAAAAAAGACTTGAATACTCAGATTTGTTTAATGTTTCTGCTGTTTGGCAAGTGTTTGTTGTGTTCTTAAAATAAAGAGTTGTTTAATTTACCAATTAACTGTCTGGTTTCTTCAACTTTTACGCAGGAGAAAAAATCTGCCTTTAAACTTGAAAGAAATAATGATTTGACATTTAACGGGATCATTATCGATATCGACTTATATGACATTTTTTATTGGGATAATGTTTTTGGCCATATCGCCCAGCCGAAATCTGTACAAATTCTGCAGCGCTGGACACAATCATTAAACTGAAAGTGCCAGCCAGGTTCACCGTAGCTTCTACATGCGTTCAGTGCACAGCATAACAGGTTAAACATAAACCGACATAAGCATTGCTATCTCATAATTATGAGATAAGATAGCGATTTTATTTTTCTCTTAGTGGCAGCAATGCGCTTCCGTATACTGGAGACCTAAAAGAGCAAAAAATAACATAACGAACTGTAATATTTTCACTGAATGTTCAAGTCTTAAACACTTTACACATTATAAAATAATATATTCAGTGATGAGATAAAAAAAAAAGATATTAGCGCTTAATAATTTACATGTAGCACAAAATGATAAGACTTCTCATATGCTTAATACAACATATATGGTTAAATGTAATGACGTAAAAAAACAGGTAGGGTCTCTAATAACCACAGTGGAGATGCTATAAGCCCAAACAGAGCCACAATTGTTTTCTCGCTGTCCAAAACAGAAGCATGAAAGTAACCAAGTCTAAAAAAATATTTCTCAAGTTTCTACCTCCCAGCACTCATTACTATTTGGCATTCAATTTGTACATTATGAAATTGAGAAGCAGTTTTGTTCTGCTTTTTATGCTTACTATGAGATATATATAAAGAATGAATCATTTAAAAAAAAATATAATTCAATAATAGTGATCATCTTTTACAGGTGTTTAAATCAATAATAAAAATAAAACTACTGCTCTCTCATGGAGCTAGCAGTATTTTTTATATTCCATAGAATGCTTATCAAAAGCCTTTGACAGTGTACCAATATAAAAGAGATTTAGATGATTAAGGACATTTCAACACTTTTGAGATGGCTCATGATTTCAAGACTAAATGACAGCCTCTTTTGTGTTCTGCACCTGCCACAGTCTCACAACAGCTGTAGGCTTTATAACAGTGACAAGAGAATCCCATTCAAACGGAGAAAATTTACTACGGTCTGTATGACAATGGGCAAAATTAAGCAGGGTGCAAAAGTTACACCATCAGGAGTCAATAAGATTTCACAAACATCTCCTCCTAAGAAAATGCAAAACAAACACCACATAGGAAAAGCAAGCAGTATATACAAACTCAATTAAAATTAGCTTAGTGATTGTGTCCCACCCAGTAATTAAAAAAGCTTTACTGCAATGCTTCAGTATGGATCAGAACAGCATGCAAACACAATTTCTTAGTTTTTCTTTTATATGATTGATATTGATTTTTGTACAATTTATGTTTTTTGTAATAAAAGTGCCTTATGACACTGAAGCACAGAGCTGGAGGCCTTATTTATGAATATAGCTCTACGGAATGGTAGGTATGTAGAAAAAAACAGATCTGGCTAAATATTGGTAAATCACTTAATGTTCCATTAATCCATAGGGAATGGAAGTCTGGGATAGTATATGGACAATTCAAAGATAAGACTGCTTTCTCTTTTTGTAAGGCATTTAAACAATTGAGAATGAAATTATTTTCTGAGGCAAACTGTTTTCAGTTATTGATTATACTACTGTACAACTTCATGCCTTGAAATCACCTTTGCCAGCAACCAAAAGTAATGGATAGACAAAATGTATTTCTTATTTTCTCATGTTTTTCAGAACTGCATAGCATCTCAACATTATTGTTCTTGTGTTCAGCACCCTTTCATTTCCTAATGAGTAAATTCCATAATACAGTATATATATTTTACTAAACTGTAATCAGCTACTATCAAATACAAAACACATTTAAACAGATAAAGATATCCTTAAATGGTTAAAGCTGCAAAAAAAAAATGAGAATACTCATGATGCATTTTAAAGTGCAACAGATGCTGAATTTCAAATTAGCTGCAATTGAGAATTACAAAAAAGGATATGTGTTGTAACTATGCTCTTTAATGATCTTAGCACAGAGATGTGCTCTGCTGACAGCACAAGAGAGAGAAACCACCTTCTGGACAACAGTGCTTGTGGCTGTGTTTCCCCATGTGTCCTGAACAATATGCCCCTATGGTGGCCTGAGAGGACATTCTGCAACATCCCTGTCTGAAAGCTTTGATCTAAAAAAACAAGCCCTTGAAGTGTGACACGCACACAAAACATTACTGCCATTTTAGAGATGCACCCTCTTTCTGACTCTTTATTGTAGATGTAAAATAACTGTTCAGTGGAATTTTAAGTAATCTGAATTTATGTATGTGATTCCACAAATGTTCTAAATGCTAGTAAGAATCTAAGATTATTCACTATTTAGTAGACCAGAACTATCTATTAAATGCAGTTAAAAGCATGTCAAAAGGATGCATGCAATTCCATCCACATAAAACTGGGAAAAAACCCAATTCACATTCCATAACTAAATTCATCTCGTACCAAACAAATAAATCTGCACCACGACATGCATTAGAAGAGTTTTAAAGAAAGTTAGTATGAATATTTTTCAATATTAAAGTTGCTACTTACTATGTGTTTTTTTTATTTCTGAAGACTACTGGAGCACTGCTGGACCCAGCAGCTCTGTTCCAAAGTGTCCAAAAAAATCCAAAGCGAAAAACCCAAATTTCTGGTATCTCACTTATACTCTTATCACCCGATAAAAAATGAGAATGATAGAAAAAGATGTTTATAATGATGAACTGTTACAATAATCAAGTCTCGGTGTGATACTGTTGCAGTAAAGAGCTCTGACACTGTATAGTGGCAATGTCATGGTTGGATGACAATGTACCCTAGGGTCACTAAACTGTATTTCAACAACAGCAGTGACAATCTGTTAGGCAAGAAGATTTAGGTCAACAGAGGTTGACAAACCAATGATATTATAGATTTGCAATTAAAACAAAAGCAAAGAGGAGTATGGTTTGCAGAATGGCTACACTATCCACATTGAAGTGTAAAGTCAAAATCCATAAAATTGATTTCTTGTGGTCTACTTTCTGTACATTGACCCCAGAAAAGGAAGTTTCAGGATTTAACTCCAGGCACAAAACTAAGCAAATAAGAATGGATGAATAAAAAAAGTT